ATTTTTATGAGACTCCACATGCTGCTATTCCATAATTAACACAGCGGCCGCCAATTGAGCTTGATGATGGTAACAAATTTCACGCCCATTAAGAGCCAACTACCGGCGAACATCAAAGCGCCAAAGTGGCAGAGTAGCAGCAACAGCAAATTTCTTTGCTGCGAGTTTAATAGTCTTTGCATGGATGAAACACTTAGGACGGCTGGCTCTTCTAGGGCGAGCTTGTCAAAGCGCCACGTTTGTTGGAGGAGTATTAAAAAGTCATTTCGTGTGATTTAGGTGCAATTAAACCATTGACCGTAGCACTGGTATTGACATTTATAATTAAACGTTCTCACTACTCCTTAGGATGTGCATATGTACGAGTATGTATGTAGCAAGGGCAAGTGTACGGAGGCTATCTGCGTGACCAACAGGGTCGCGTTGACGATATTTTAACGCTGGCTTTTTGGTGGCTGGAGAGTTTACATAAATAAAGGTACATATATTCTGGCGCCCGCCTACTTAGATTCATATTGAATCTTAGATTTTAAATTTCTGGTCATCGAAGTCTATTCATTTGTTTTTTGTAAACTTGAAATTAAATAGTGAAAAAACAATGTCCTTCAATACCTTCATTTTGGAGTCCGCTCAGTGCTAAGGAATGAGGGCAATTGAATAAAACAAAATTCAAAAATACACTAACTTAAAAAGTTTCTCAAATTTTCATACAAAATAATAAACACTTCCGCTTGCACTTTGGCAACATTAAATAATTTCCTTTAATCCTTTCCTTAAACTTTGTGTTTCTTCTTTCTACTCGACTACTCGCGACAGATTGCTACTAATTTAAAAAATTTACCACTAATCAGTCTTTCTTTCGTTTTCCACAACACTCACTAGTTTGGCATTCGTGTGAATTATGTTGTGCTGCTCAGTAAACTCATTTAGTCACCATAGAGAGGAAGAAGGGAAATAGCAGCAATAAACCAAGCCAAGCTGATTGCTGTGGTTTGGTGTCGCAGCTTTGGTACAGGTCAGTCGTCTATCCCTTGAGTCCCTGCGTTGCAGACACAGAAACTGCTGTAGTGAGCTGTGATGATGGGAGGAGAAAAATCGTGTTGATTACTGATAATTTCCCTTATAAATTTGCTAACACTAGAGAGTGTTTATGAGAAGAAGAGGGGTAAAATAAAGTTGTGATGGAAGGTTTTTTGCTTTTCCAGCTTGATAAGTAACGAGTAGCAGTAAATTGGAAATTCTTACTTACATGTTGCTATGCAACATACACACGCACTTTGTTATAATTTAACATTTATATTAAAAGAAAAGAGTGGGACATGAAGCGTTTAGTAAATTAACATCTAATAGAAAAATTTTATCTTCGGTGTTTATGTGTTGGTCAAAGAGCTGCTCTGATTTGACTGAACCCCACATCCCTCCTCTCTCCATAAAACCCTAGATAAAGCAGAGTATAGTCACCGTCAAATATAAATAATCACTTGTCATACAATTTTATTATTTAAAAGAAATATAAATGAAAATATTAATAAAAATCGAGGCAGTATCAAAAGTTTTCACAAACAAATTACGACATAATTTCGGTAACCCTGCCCTGATTGGGCTATAAGAAAAATGGAGGCGCCTCTATCTCACTCCTAAATCATGTCTACATCATCATACCATTTCGAAGCGATCTGAAGTTTAATCTAAGTTGCCTTCGTGCGTCCGATGGATTTTTATGGAGGAAGCTTTACACTCCCTGAGCGCCCGCAAATAGAAAATTAAATTTTCTGTAATTTTGGATATGGGTTGGATTAGGATTCGAGCTTTGACCTTCCAATTGGTAGAAATCTCTGTTAGCCAAGCAACGTATATCCCCCTTTCAAGCTTTCCTTTGCTTCGCCCGTAACGCTTTCTGTAGCGCCTTCGCAACACATTCACCAGCAGCCTCCTCGAGTGAATTACGCGTAATAATGTTTCAATTAATCGAACTACTTAAATTTTTTATTCCAAATAAAATATATTTTGATATTATCAGAATTGCTTGCTAAGTGTGGACTAAGCGGTATTTGACTATGTGTTTGAACCCAAATTATTTGCTCAGTTCTTGACCATAAATAAACTGAAATTTCAGTTATTTAATTTTGTGGTCTGACTCTTTCAATTTCTTTTCCGCGGGTACCTTTCAACACAAGAATTATGTTATTTTGACATCCTTTATACATCCAGTTCCTAACTTGCAAATCGTGTTGAGATATTTACACATTTCGTTAAAATAAAGACAAAGAAATTACATTGTCGTGAGATTTCTTAATCTGCGTCGAGCATAACTTTTTATATTGTTTTTAAAACTTAACATCTGAAACAATAAAATGTCTTAACGCCGCATCCCTTCACTCACCCACTAACTCCTCTGCAATGGATTGCCGTTGTTGTTTTTCTCTATTGTTTGTCAATGCGACACTTTTGTTGCTTATTTTCTCAATTTCTCATTTTCTTATTGACATTATGGCTTTATGTTGTCCTCTTTGCTTTTTCTTTAGTTACATTTTCCGTGAAAACTTCGCTGTCTGTATGCGGTTATATAAATCTGGCAAAGCTACATTATGAGTGTCCATTAAATATTGATTTCCTTATTATTCTTCACAACTCTATTCTTTGCAGTTATTGCCATTGAAGACTTTCCGATCCCCTATTAATATGCTCTTTAGCTTCGCTGTCGCTCATAATAAGTTTTGAAAATAATTTCTGCTGTTTAATGATGATGTATGTATGTATTGGCATTGCCATGGTCACGTGGTTGCTACCGTCAAAAGGCATGAAAGGCAGAAACGTGAGATGATGATGTGGTAGATGTGATCAATACGGCACTAGCCTGAAGCAACCTAAATTGGTACCGATTACACAACTTATTATTTTATTTTAGATAATGTCGTCAAGTTGTTACCATACAAAGTAGTTTTATTGTTGTACTTAGGCGATATTTGTTGAATGAAGGCTAGTTAAAGTCTAGTAAAAAGTAATCCATTATTTTTGCATTAAACTCATTTAACACAAATAGATTTATCCGATTGTATATGGACCATTTGACTCGACAACTTTGTGCCATTTTGAAGGTAATATCACTATGCAGCTCTCATAGAAACCTTTGTCCTTATTGGCAAAAAATTTGGACAATCGAGTTTCATAGGCTACTCTTTAGATCAATTTTTCACCAGCCTAATCATTCGCCATAGACAGTAACAGATAGTAATCACTTGGTGCGAGCTCTGGACTATAAGGTTGACGTATACGAATTTCCCAACCAACCCCATGGAGCTTCGCTCGAGACACTATTTGATGTGTTTGGTCTGGGTATGTCAGTTAGGTTCGAATTAAGAGTTTGGTTTTAGGGGCAATTCATAGGGAACGATTCTTTGTTAATCCCTTCAAATATACAACCCAGCAAGCCACTATTATCACTATCAATCAATGTTTTTTGATGATTCCCGATCCGTCTGTGAGCGATTAAGATAAATAGAGCAAATAAAAAATGCACTCAAATTTTTGCAATTTTAACATTTTACATTCTTTTTATTTATTTATTTATTTATTTCTCACATTACAATTCACTTATGATTTTATTTATAACTTGAGTTAAGTTTTATGTAAATCTTTTCCAATTTGCCTTGAATTATTATATTTTTAACTTTTTATATGGGTATTGTATTACGGTGTTTGAGTATCCAGTGTATTTATACATATGTGCGTATGTATATGTATAGTGTGATTTTTACAAATTCTCTTAATTTATTTATTTTAAAATTTTTCTTTTCTTCATTCAAAAGTATTTTAATTACAATTTAAATACAATTATTAATATTTACTTTCAATTTCGCATATATATTTCTAACAATAAATAAATTTCACATTTATGTATATTATTTATTTGCTTTTTAAGCGCCTAAAATTACATAAAGTTTACAGTGTTTTTTTTTTTGGAATTAAAAATTTTAATTAATCAAAACTCAACAATTATAAACAAAACAAAGAAACACATACATGTCTATTTACATACGTACGTATATGCAAGTATATGTAAATATGTATTTATGTATGCGTATGTTATAGGTGAATATGAATTGGCATTGGCGCACCACTAAAATATTGTATGTATTTTGTAGTAACCACGTTCATTATATACACACATACTTATGTAATTTTCTTGAACTGAGTGAATGTTATTGTTCCACTTCTATATATGTATGTATTATATGTGCATATGTACGTTTAGTGCTTGCATTATTTAATCATTTGTAGGAGTCCGTCTATTTGTTGTTGTTGCGTGTTTAATTGACAATTCAACGATCTGCGTGTGTGTGTGTTTGTGTGTATAATTTATTGTTGTTATTTTTTGTTCTATTTCAATTTACCGGCGGCTTCAGTATTTCGGCTTAAAATCAATTCCAGATAAACACAAACAGTGTCAGTTGAATGTACTGCCCTTCTACTTATTTGAAATATTTTTTCATTTCATTTTTAACTAATAAAATTTTAAATGTTAAATTCTTTAACATTTTTATTTGTGGCTATGTTGCTTTATCGACATTGCCAGTGCTTGTTTGCCTTATTTAAGATTCTTCATTGTTAAAACTTAGATAAGAAAAACTTTAATTTGCTTGGTTGTTCCTTTTAAGTTTGAAAGTTAGATTATATGTATAGCCATGAAAATGTACAAACTGCCTTACTATGTATGTCTTCGTTTGTGTCTTTTTATCATATTATCTGATCACTTTTCTTTTCAGTTTTCGTTTGATTTAATTTTATTATTTTCGGCTTATTTCATGTGAAAAAATTCGAGCGGGTAATTTTGATAGAGAACAAAAACAAAATATCGAAATTTATTTTTTCTTTACGTTCATACCAATTTTTTCGCATGAAATTTCCAATAGCCTTATTGTGCGGTTATAATTTATTTTAAATTATTTTATTTTAATTTTAAATTTTTTTAATTAATTGCATTATTTATTTTATTTTACTTTTTTATCTAACTCTTTTTCTGTTTGTTGGTTTATTTTTTATTTTCGTTTAGTTTATTTGATTTTATTTTATTTTACTTCATTTCATATTATTTAATTTATTTAAAATTTTTTTTCTATTTAATTTTTTTTTTATTTAATTTAATGTTGTATTATGTTATTTTCACTTTTTATTTTATTTTAATTTATTTCAATTTATTTCATTTTTTTATATTCTTCTCTTTTCTGCTTCACTATTTACACTTCTTGGCACCCGAACATAACGACATGGTAATTGCGTGTTTTCTCTCTGAGTAATTGAGCGTTTAGCATCTTTGTTTGGATCGTTGTCTGATTTTTGTTTGGCTTGTGTTTTGGGCGAGGGATATGTGGGTCTTCTTTGCTAGGCATGACTTTCATGTGTTCAATCAAAATAATGAAAACAACAATAAAACAAAAAAATGGTTTATGAGCTTAATGACGGTTTTCTCTTGGGGACGAAGCGTTTCACACACACGCAGTGCTGTCGTAAGCATTGTTCAGCGGCTCTTTGGACTGTAAAGAGAGAAAGAGAGAATCAGAGTATGGAAGAGAGAAAGAAATGAAAAATTGAGATTAGTTTTACATGTTTAGGAAATAATTTTAGCCTTGCAAATAGATGTGTGTGTGTGTTTTGGATGGTTTAGATAAGTGTAAACTTATATGTAGTACTAACTCAAAATTAAGTTTTATATAAAATAAAAAATTCAAAAATAATCCAAAATAAAATATACCTAAGGTTTGTAGCAGGTAGTTTGCGGAGATATTATATTACATTCATATTCATGAACTCCGAAAAAATATAAAAGCATAAAAAATAAGTGAACCTAACGCTTGAGAATAAAATTAAAAATATATAGTTTCCAAATATGGGAGTATTTATGTACTTAAAACAAAAACAACTTAATGTAAGGAATAGATAAAAACTATGTATTTGTATAATATATTTTTACAGGCTTAAATATGTATAGTGTGTATACTTATATATTCATGCATTATTAAGAACGAGTGTTTTTGTATAAAATCTTTTAATAAAGCAAAAACAAATTACAATTATTTCTACATAACATACCAAACTATTAATGAAATACTCTTAAAACAGTTAAAAAATAAAATGAAATTGAATTCATTTGTTGCAAATATTCAAGCGCAAACCAAATGCTTTCATTATTATTTTTTCATGATTTCTCTGCGGCGACTTAATCGAATCAAAATTAATTGCAGTATAAATAATAATTATGAAAGAAAGTAAGCGTAAATGTATGAACACCAATACTATTGTATTAATATCACAATTAGTTCAGGTAAGAAAACAGTTATAGAAAATTATTTAATTAAATATTTGATCACTAAATTTAATCCAAGTTAAACGGTAAAATGCGGAAATTCAATTGGCAATAAACCCAATTTAATTTCAACAGAATAAAATTGATTATTTTTTCTAGTTTGTAGCACTTTTTAGTCAATAAACTGAAACTTTGCTAATTTTGCATGTCGTGGCTTATTCAGAGACTGTTTTGCACGTGCAAAAATTTAATAAATATTAAAATGAAAAGAAACATATATTTCGTGGTTTCAAAAGTACTGCTGGTTAACTCTGGTTTAACAGATAACAAACCGTGTTTTGTTTGAAATTTGAAAGATATTGTCAAGAGTGTGAGTTTTCGTTTTGCTCGTTTCACCTCAAATATCGCTACGGTGAATGATACCGAAAACCTGAATGTGTCTCTTTCACAAGATCTCAAGAGCTGGGGCTTTCTTATGTATGATACCGGCCTTTTTTTGGCCTACAATTGTGGTTTGTACAAGATGGTGCCACATGCCACAAAACTCGTTCGGGAATTTCATGAAATAAAGTATTTTAAATGCATTTTATTTACGTCTATTGTTGCAGCCACAAAACGAATAACCCTGTATTTGAAGACCATATAAACTCACAAGCATAAAAATAAATACTATTATCCACCAGGAATAGCGAACGAAAAGGAAATTAATGAAACCATTTTCGGGCATTTTGCGACATTTCGATTAGCTGCACTTAATGCGCTTTCGTTGCATTAAATATTAATTTCCAAATAAATTCAAGCGCACACATACATAAACGACCGTTTAGCTGGATGTAAATTTTTGTAAAATGTAGGAATTTTTTGACATAAATTTTATTAATAATTCGGTCGTAATCAGTGTGTGTGTGTGTGTGTGTGTGTGTGCGATTCCGGAAAATAAATGTTTGCAATATTGAAATAAATAATTCACGTGTGCAAATAATAAAAAAGCTCCGATTTCTCACAAATAGATTTGTTTTTAATTTTGTCTATTTAATTTGAAATAATAGCGGATGGAAGTTTTCTGAATTGAAGCATATTCATACAAGGGGGACAAAAGATGCATAGGAATGCTCTACAAAGCGCATATTAAAAACATGCAATTTCGGAATACTTTCGCTTGTGAAGCTTCGCATTAAAAATAAAATTCAAAAAGCTAATATGTCATTAGGCCCTTTTTAACTAAAACTAAAGCTTTTTCATGAAAATGCTGAGTTTCAATAATATATATAAAGAAATATAAATATTTTTGATTCGCTGATTTTTGGAATATTTCTAACATTAACTATTCAGTTTTTTCCCCGTAATAGATTAATTGTCGCTAGGCAACCAAATTTCACAGCAATCGCGCCACATTGCCACATGAGCACATGACCACAATGCCACTTTAATCATGCTCGCCATATTCAAATTAAATGTGACAACAAGCCAGCCGTGCGGTTGCTATGTCACAGTGAAGCCCATGCCCGGCTGCTGTATGTATTATGTATTTGAAGTAACTACCGCAATGAAGTAAGCCACAACAATTTTCAGCAAAAATCTGTTGCCGCTATTTCAGCTGAGCTGCTCTATTGATCGATTGCAATTTGTGGCGTCTTGGAAATTCAGTAGAAAAGTAAATGCGCTTTTCCAAAAGTTTAAGGCATTTACATTTGAATAAATTTTTTCTTAAAGAATTCATTTTTATTATGGAAATAAAATTCGATGGTTGCCTTTTATACAATGTGTCGGGATTCGAGATTAGAAACAAATACTAGTCCCCGAAAATCCCTTTGTTGTCTTGTAACGAGAGCAAATTTTTTACAGTCAAATATTTCTTACAATATTGAATATATGCTGGTCTCACTAATGTCAAGCGAACAACTGGTCATCGTACCATTCATAAACACCGGTCCTTGATGGAGCCCGATACCACTGTTGCTGAGTTATTCCACGTCGACAACAACAATAGCGCACATACGTCAAGACGTTCTGAGTATGTATAACATCGAAAATGTCAAACTTTACGAAATAGTTGCCTTGCCATGTATTTTTAAAATTATCTATTAATGGCCACATGCCAACAAATATATCAGTAAGAGCTGGTAGGCTGAGATACAAAAGGCGAAATTTTCGACAGACGAATGAACTCATTTTGTATTGTAACGCAAAAGTCGAAAAACCCTTAAGCCAAGGCGGCATCGTAACTACACGATGTAGAAGTTTCAAGTTAATAAAAAAAATCGGTTCGGTTTAAACATTTAGAAATGACAACGTTAATGTTAAATCTGTAAACGTTAAAATTGATGTGGGCTGTTACTATCATCGCATGTAACATTTTAAAATTGTTCTTAACATTTCAATTTCGTTTCGGTAACATGAGGCCGAAACGAAACAAAATCATTTCATAAATATCCAATAACATCATTTCGTGAGTTGAGCATTTCGGCTCACACTTATACTAATATGCATATCTATATATACTTATATAAGTGTATATATATACAATAACAATATGTCAGTGCTGAGTAGAAAACCCTTGGAAAGTATGGACCAGCAATTTAAATTAAATTTACGAAATTGATTGGACAAAAAATCAAGAAAAAGAGCAATAAGAAAAAATATACTTTTCGGAATCATTCCTCAGCGCAAAAACAGTTATTGCAAAATTCAAAACAGGTAATATCGGCATGGAAATAAAAAACTAGCTTATGATTTCTTCTGCCAAAAATCAGGAAAAAAGGCATTGCGAAAAGTATGCTAAAAGTAGTTACGTATTTACTTACGTTTTAGTGAAATCAAGAAATAGAAAGAGGCACAACGACAATTGTTGCGAGCACGCTTTGCGTTGCTACGCCGCATTACAGTCGGAGGTGGAGAATTTAATGAGATTTTGTCAGAAAACGGTTTCGCGTTTTTCATTCAACTGTGTTTTTCTTTTGGCAATTGGTATGTTTTATTATTATTTCAAATGTTTTAAACATAATATATTTCCAAATAGACATTGAATAATGTTCATCGCAAGTTAATGTTTCTACTTCTCAACACACTATGAACTACTAACATTTATATTATTTAATTGTAATTGTAATTTACAGTTTGCTTTGCCAATTTTGATTTTTAGCTCTATATTTTTAGACTTCGTTTGATCGGTTTCGCATTTAGCAATTATGTTATGTTTGTTTGTCTTCCTTAATTATAAGTATACTCCTTCAAAATTTGTTTCGTATGTATGTATGTATGTATGTATGTATGTATGTATTGTATAAAAGTCTATTATATCCTCGTTTTGTTTGCATTAAATAAAGGTAAATGATTATCATAAGCCTAATTGTTTCATTGGTGTTGTTTTAGTATTGTTATTGTTGTGGTTGTTGTTAATGCCGTGAACTCCCCAATTGTAAGTTCAGAGGCATGAGGGTGTATTGAGTGCTCTTTAAATCCGTGAGTGTAGCAGCAATTCCTTTGAAAATTGTAAATATGTATATGCAGATGGAGGTTAATTTATCGATAGTAAGTGGTGCTGTATATGTATATTGTTTTGTGTGTTAGTATTTATCGCATAGAGCATATAGTATTTCTTAGTATTATAATTATTTTCACGGTTTATTTCCAACATTTTTTCAAAAAAGTTTACTAAATTTCTGGTAACTAAATATGTACAATATATACGTATGTATGCATGATGAATCTATGGTCGAAAAATTGGTAGTTAAACAAATTCTTTTCACAACACTAAATTCAAGCGAATTCTTTTTGTTTTCTCTTTGAGGACCTAGAAATTCTTGATGTCAATCGTAATATTTGGTCAAAACGTTTTCGTAAAAATGTGTAGAATGCGAACAAAAAGAAGAAGACTGGGCTAAAAATAATCAAAGTCATGATGGTCTGCTCTTTTCTGCAAATTGATGAAGTTGAAATTCAATGATATTTTCCCATATTTCATGGCACTGGCTTGGATTCCGCTAACAAAATATTTTGAATCAATCTTTCAAAATTGTTTCTGCATTTTCGTTAGCTTTTATTGACAAGCCAAATTATAAGAAGTCGTTATGATAGCAGGACGCTGCCACTAAATGTAGCGTTACCTCGGATTTAGCCTATAACCGTCACAGGATGAAAGGGTTTAATGAATAATAAACTCCTTATTTCAACGCTAAGATAAAGTTAACGACCTCAACTGACAATGTGCTGTATTGGTTGATGCGATGC